GTCCCCGGCGGGGCCAGGGGCGCGAGGACTCGACGAGGAGGATTAGGGGGAGGGAGAAGAGGTTCGGGCAGGCTAGAGAGTTCGAAGGGAAGTGAAGACATATCTGTGCGTGCGGCACGGTGGCGGATACTGCTGTCAGGAACTCTTGTTTAGCGTGTCGCGCCGCTGGTTTTGGTCCACCACGCTTCGGCGCGATACGCTAAGCACGTCCCAGTCCCCAAGCGTCCCGCCCCGCGCACTGGAGCAACACGCTAACAGCTCGCAAAGCATGGCGTGTTGCAAGGGCCGCCGCCGCGACACGCTAAGCAAAAGTTCCCGACCGTAATAAAGAGGAGTAAGGAGAGGAAGAGGAGGAGGAGGAGGAGGAGGAGGAGGAGGAGCAGGATGATGATGATGATGATGATGATGATGATGATGATGATGATGATGATGATGATGATGATGATGATGATGATGATGATGATGATGATGATGATGATGATGATGATGATGATGATGATGATGATGATGATGATGATGATGATGATGATGATGATGATGATGATGATGATGATGATGATGATGATGATGATGATGATGATGATGATGATGATGATGATGATGATGATGATGATGATGATGATGATGATGATGATGATGATGATGATGATGATGATGAGGAGGAGGAGGAGGAGGAGGAGGAGGAGGAGGAGGAGGAACAGCGGAAAGGCCTGGAGTAGGCGGATGGGGGAGGACAGAGGTGCGTGTGGGTGGCGGGAGTCTCGATAACTCGCCTGATCAGCTAGGATGCAAGCTGCGTTTGGGACGCTGTAGCTGGCTGTGAGAGGATGCTCCAGATCTCGAGCGGAGTTTCGTGTGCGCGCATGCGCGTCACACCCTCCCGGCTTGCCTCGGTCACGCCCGAGCTCCGAGTGTTGGATCCAGGCGCCTCTTCGTCGGTTCCCTGGTGTCCGTCGACGTGTTTTTTTCAATCCGCGGTCCCTGAGGTCCGGTCCGGACCGCCTCCCTGGAGGCAGTTTCGACGCTCCCAGGTGTCCGAAATTGGTCCCGAGGGCCAACCAAGAATCAACACCAATTGAGAATGCTTCCCTCATTGCAGAAGACCCCAAACAGATTTATGCAGTTACGGGGTCGACGCGATGATCTACGGGACGATGGGGGGCCACGAAAGGGGGGTTGACGATGCGGGGGATCGGGACAGGGACAGCGGTATGGGATAAGGATAGAGACATGGATCAGGATGGGGATAGGGATACAGTCAACCCGCATAGTAAGCATTGGCAACCTTCCCAAGGGTACCCTTGCATCCTTGCCTCGTCGGTCCATCCTTGGCCACTCTCGTTGGCCGCGCCCCGCTCGAAGAGCTTCGAAGTGGGCGTCCAATGCCCTTGCATCCCCATCGCGCATCCTTGTGATGCGGGCCGAGTGCAGGGACGGCAAGCCATGGGAGGCCGTGGGAGGCATGGGAGGCAATGGCAAGGGAGGCCATGGGAGGCAACGGCAAGCCAGGGAGGCCATGGGAGGCCAGGCAGCCCACGGGAGGCCGCGGCGCCCCACCGATTCGCTGGAGCCGGCGACTCACATATATATACATATATGTATATATATACAGATACATATATTTATATTTATTTATTTATTTATTTTATTGATTTATTTATTTATGTATTTATTAGTTTATTTGTTTGTCTATTTATTTATGTACATATATATACACCTATACGACCACCCTTCGGGTGATAAGGAGGTTCGGGATGGGGAGGATGCAGCGTCTCACTCGATCGGTCTCACTATCCATCTCACTATCGGTCTCGCTCGCTCGATCTCACTCGAACGATCTCACAATCGATCTCACTCGATATATCTCATTCGCTCGGTCTCACAATTGATCTGATTATCGATCTCACAATCGATCTCACATTCGGTCTCACTATCGATCTCACTACCGATATCACAATCGATCTAACATTCAACGTCATCATCATCATCATCATCACCAACACCATCATTTTCATCGTCATCGGGACACTGTCGTCATCATCATCATCGTCATCATCATCAACGCCATCATCATCAGGCCATCATCATCCCAATCATCATCTCATCATAGTCAGCAACATCATCATCATCATCGGCACACAGCCTTCGTCATCATCACCATCAGCATCATCATCATCATCGGGACACCATCATGGTCACCATCATTGTCATCGTCAATTTCATCAACAACATCGGGACACCATCATCATCATTTCATCATCATCATCATCATAATCAACAGCATCATCAACATCATCGGGACACCATCATCATCAGCAGCATCATCGTCACCAACATCATCATCAATATCATCATCGGTACACCATCACCATCACCATCATCATCACCACCGTCATAATCATCATCATCGGGATACCATAATCATCATCAGCAGCATCATCATTACCAACATCATCATCAACAACAACGGGCAGAAACATCAACATCATCGTCATCTCATCATCATCAACAACATCATCAACATCACCAGCGGGACACAGCCATCGTCATCATCACCATCAGCATCATCATCATCATCGGGACACCATCATGGTCACCATCGTTGTCATCGTCAACATCATCAACAACATCGGGACACCATCATCATCATCAGCTCATTATCATCATCATCAACAGCATCATCAACATCATCGGGACACCATCATCATCAGCAGCATCATCATCACCAACATCATCAATATCATCATCGGTACACCATCACCATCACCATCATCATCACCACCGTCATAATCATCATCATCATCATCGGGATACCATAAACATCATCAGCAGCATCAGCATTACCAACATCATCATCAGCAGCAACGGGCAGAACATCAACATCATCGTCATCTCATCATCATCATCAACATCATCATCATCATCATCACCAGGACACCATCATCGTCATCATCATCACCATCAACACAACCATCATGATCATCATCAACATCATCATTATCGGGACACCGACGGGGCACCGACGGGACACCGGCGGGACACCGCGGGCCCCCAGCCGCCCAGAAGGGAGTCATTTGGTCCGGCCGCGCCTCAGCCACACGGGACACCAGCGGGACACCGGCGGGACACCGCGGGCCCCCGGCCGCCCGGACTGGCCGCGCCTCAGCCACAGGAGACTTTCTCTCGCCCGCCCACGCAGCTTCGCCTCGCCCGCACGGCACGCACGAACACGAAACCGAAATCGATTTCCCGGTGGGGGGGCTCTCCGTTCCACTTCGATCTCACCCCCTCACCTCCGATATATATATATATATATATATATATATATATATTATGTATATATATATATATGTATATACAGATGTATTCATTTATTTATCTTTCTGTTTCTCGGAGGTTGGGGGGTGAGATCGCAGTGGAACGGAGACGCCCAACAGGGAAATCGTTTCGTTTCGCTCGTGTCGTGCGTGCGGGCGAGGCGAAGCTGCGTGGGCGCGCGAGAGGAATGAACCCGCCGTTGCTAGGGCGAAGTCCAGACAAATGATTCTCCCCCGCCCGCCAGTCCGTCCGTCCGGCGGTGGCTCGCGGTGTCCCGCGGTGTCCGGTGGTGTCCCGTGGTGTCCTGTTGAGTGAGATCGATAGTGAGATCGATAGTGGGATCGATAGTGACATCGATAGTGAGATCGATAGTGAGATCGATGTGGTGCCCCGAGGTGTCCCGTGGTGTCCCGTGGTGTCCCAAAAAGTGAGATCGATAGTGAGATCGATAGTGTGATCGACAGGTGTCCCGTGGTGCCCCGTGGTGTCCCGTGGGGTCCCGTGGAGTGAGATCAATAGTGAGATCGATAGTGAGATCGATGGTGAGATCGATGTGGTGTCTCGAGGTGTCCCGTGGTGTCCCATGGTGTCCTATGGTGTCCCGTTGAGAGAGATCGATAGTGAGATCGATAGTGGGATCGATAGTGAGACCGATAGTGAGATCGAGAGGTGTCCCGCGGTGTCCCGTGGTGTCCCGTGGTGGCCCGTGGTGTCCTGTGGTGTCCCGTTGAGTGAGATCGATAGTGAGATCGATAGTGCTATCGACAAGTGTCCCTTGGTGTCCCGTGCTGTCCCGTGGTGTCCCGTTGAGTGAGATCGACTGAGATCGATTGAGTCAGATGTTGGTTTCCCCCATCTCCCCCCACAACCTGCTTATCACCCGAAGGGTGGTCGTATATATAGTATTTTAAAGTCGGGCGTGTCCCTCTATAGGAGGAATTTTCAGAGAGTAGTCAAAGAAATAGGCAGCGGACCATTTTTCTAATACCTATACGACCACCCTTCGGGTGATAAGCAGGTTGTGTGGGGGGATGGGGGGGGGAACCAACATCTGATTCAATCGATCTCACTATCGATCTCACTCAGCGGGACTCCACGGGACACCACGGAACACCACGGGACACCACGGGACATTTGTCGATCTCACTATCGATCTCACCATCGATCTCACTCAACGGGACACCACGGGACACCACGGGCCACCACGGGACACCACGGGAACCGCGGAACACCTCTCGATCTCACTATCGGTCTCACTATCAATCTCACTATCGATCTCACTCAACGGGGCATCGTAGGACACCACGGGACACCACGGGACACCACGGGACACCTCGGGACACCACATCGATCTCACTATCGATCTCACTATCGATGTCACTATCGACCTCACTCAACGGGACACCACGGGACACCATGGGACACCGCGGGACACCTGTCGATATCACTATCGATCTCACTACTGATCTCACTATCGATCTCACTTTTTGGTTCACCACGGGCTACCACGGGACACTTTGGGGCTCCACATCGATCTCAGTATCGATCCCACTATCGATCTCACTATCGATCTCACTCAACATGACACCACGGGACACCACGGGACACCGCGGGACACCTGTCGATCTCACTATCGATCTCACTATCGATCTCACTTTTTGGGACACCACGGGACACCTCGG